GCCTTCCACTGGGTGCTTCCTAGGGCCTCGTTCCTCGCCCCTGGGAGTATCTGAGTTTGTGACCCAGTTTAAAACCCTAATTTTATGTAGGAGCGTGACCTCAGCCACTTGTCACTAGAAATATCCACAGGAACTGTCCCTAGGGAAGGTAATTAAAGTCTGATGCTGCGGGCTGATTTTTCTTGGAGAAAAACAAGACGATGTAAGAAGAACTACACCCCAGTCTGGCCGAGGGCAACTCAGGGATGAGATAGTAATTTTCTGAACTTCTTTACGCGATTTACTAGACAAAGAACAGAAGCAGGTGCCCGGGGCCCAGCCCTCATTTCCCTGATTTCTTCCCTCTCCTTTGGCTTGTGAACCAAGAGGGCCTCCCTCTTGGGATCTCGCCCCCTGGACGTGCAGAAGGTGGGCAGCCTGCTGAGCAGGCCCTTCTGGAGGGTTCCAGGACGGCTGTTTGCAGGACCGGAAGCCCCCCCAGCCCCAGCTCTCCCGGCTGGCCACCCGTTTTGTTGATTGGAGGGGGCAGGGGAGGTAGGGTTCGGCGGACACAGCCGGATCTACTCTTAGCCCAGCAGAGACGTTGAAAATGTCAAGTGAGCATCTGAGGGCATTTTCGAGTTGTTTTGGTCACTCCTAAAGGCAAAAACATAAGCTTCAGGATCTCTGCTTTCTTGACTCTCCAACGGCCGTCTTCATTCGGTCTCCACGGAGCACCTGCTAAGGGCTGGCCAGCGAGACACAGGAGGGACAGGCTGACGCGAACCAGTTCTCACCCAGTCTGTCTTCTGGCGCCTCCCCCACCTGGGAGCCCCTCCTGCACCCTCCCCTTCACCTGGCTAAGGCTTCTCTCCTTCAGAAAGTTCTCATCCCCCCGGGAGCACCCCAGGCACGCCCATGTCACATACCTTAACACCATGTGGCAGTCTAATGACTGCTGCCTTTGGACCCACGCCCATCCCACCAGATCAGGAGCCTCCACGTGCTCAGAGGCCTCATGGAGCCCAGGCTGGGGCCGCATCCAGCCTGACTTCTTGGCTGTGTGACCCCAGGCAAGTTATTTGACTTTTTCGTGCCTCGGTTTCCCCATCTGTAAAATGGGCATAACCAACACCGCTCAGCAGAACTCTTGGGAGCAGTGAATAAGTTAAGGCGCGCAAAGTGCCAAGCATGGTGCCTGGCACATAGTAAGTGCTCAATAAATATTAAGCAAACTGGTCTAAACCCAGGAGGCAAAGTTGGTCAGTGGGCACAGTCCACTGGGGACACGCACAGCCTTGCACCCAGCCTTGGACAACCGGCACACACTGTTGTGGCTCACCTCCCCCTCACATCCTCCGCAGAGCCCCAGATTCTACCCAGGCGGCCGTCAGCAGGTGCTTGCCAGGATCGTGCCGTGTCAGTGCAGCGACGAGGCACGAGACTGTCCAATTCTCATAAAACGCAGCTCACGAGCTGCTTACCCAAGAAACCTCCGTGACTGTACTTCCTACACGGGTGCCGGCACGCACGGGGCTCAGAACCGCAATCCTCGTACCCTGGCTCCCGCCTGCAGAGCCCCTGACGCGGGGAGCGGTCATGAATCCCAGGATGGGGGCTGCTGGCTGCCCGACTGTACGGTCACTACAAATCATCAAAGTGGACATTTACAGGGGCGCCTGCGGGGCTCGGTCGGTCGCGCATCTGACTCTTGATTTTGGCTCAGGTCATGATCTCACCGTTCGTGAGACGGAGTCCCATGTCGTCCGTGAGGTTGAGTTCGGCGCTGTCAGTGAGGAGCCTGCTTGGAATTCTCTCTCTGCCCTCCCCTGGCTCTCACGTGCACGTGCGCACACACTCTCTCTCAAAATAAACAAAGAAACATTTTTTAAAAAGCGGACGTTGGGGCGCCTGGGTGGCTCAGTCGGTTGAGCATCCGACTTCAGCTCAGGTCACGATCTCGCGGTCTGCGAGTTCAAGCCCCGCGTCGGGCTCTGGGCTGATGGCTCAGAGCCTGGACTTGCTTCCGATTCTGTGTCTCCCTCTCTGCCCCTCCCCCGTTCATGCTGTGTCTCTCTCTGTCTCAAAAATAAATAAACGTTAAAAAAAAAAATTAAAAAAAAAAAGCGGACGTTCACGATGGGTGAGCTGCATGGCATGTGGATTACATCTCAGCAAGACAGCTCGGATCGAATCCTGCATTAAGTCCTGCTGTATACACTCTGAGCCTTGAAGAGACAGCATCCCGCTCTAATACCCAGGAAAGCCGGGTTCTCCCTGCTTTTGTCTTTTTAAAAATTCAAGGAGAACAATTACACCAACGCAGAAACTTGGGTCATCACAAGGGCTCCTGTATCTCCGTGCTGGCTTCTTCTCTGGCTGAAGGAGGGAAAGCCAACTCCATTTTTCTACTTTGCCCAAACACAGCTACGTTATCTGGTTCCCCAGGGATGCTCCAAACCCACCTTCGCAGAAAGAAAACAGAGGTCACATCCCTAATACCCAAAAGGTGGCGGATCAAGCCACGTCTCGTGCCCGATACCCAGCAATTCAGGCAGAACCATCGTGCCTGGCCCCTGACCTTGACCTTTATCTGCTCCTGCCGGTTCACCAAAATGTTCTGGGGAAAGGGCAGTCGGGCCAGGGAGTGGGGGGTGGGGGGTGGTGGCGGAGGGAGTGACAGAAGACCACTTCCAGTCTGCTTCTAGGACAGTGGCCTCTAAGCTTATTTTCAGCAGTTCAAACAATTTCCCCCAAAGCTAAGTCTTGCACAGAACGCTGCACCCCTCAAAACAAAAAAAAAAAAAAGATCAAAGTCGGCCTGTTCTGGTTCCAATGACCGTCTCCCCACTCTGGCACGGCCTGAGGCTCTGAGGGAAACCAGCAGCCGGGGGATGTGGTGTCCAAAGCCACAAGATCCCCATCCGGCCCTTTCTGGGACTTTGAGGTTATCCCCTGGAAAGCGGGACCTTTCCAGAAAGCAGCGTGTCCCGTGCACATGAACAAGACGCACGAACAGCAGTCACGTGGCACCGGGTCACGGAGATGGGGGGCTCACGACACCAGCCTCGGCTCCTGCACGTGCCCCAAATTTTCCATGAAAATAACGCACGTAAACGCTGACACGGAAGCAAAACCTCAGGAGTGGGGAGACACCCTGGGGGATGGGGGGACCCGGCCTTGGTGCAGCCCTCAGCTCAGACATGGCCCCTGGGTCGGTGCTGTCCGGGCATCTCCCTCAGGGGAGGCACCGTGACAGCGAAACAGCACCGGCATTCAGTGCGTATTGGCTGAATGACGAAGGAATTAAAAAAAAGAAAACCTTATCCCGAGCTGTCTAGACACCCCCGAGGGTGACACGGTGGTGAGGAAGGCAGGCTTGCTGGGACCCTGGGGTCCCAAATGTGGCCCGATAGAGTAGAACCAGGAGAGCGGGGAAATCCCTATTGTTTTGAACATCACATTTCTCCAAAGAAGATGAAGTTTGTTTCAAGGGACCCTGACATTTAGATATAATTTATGCATAATTAAACACATTTCACACTGGTGTTGCCCCTTAGGGTGATTCTTCCAAGCTTCACAAATGCAAGGTGACCTTTCTCATTAGGGCTTCTCAAAATCTCCAAACTGCCAAGACCCTCAGACAAGCAAACACCCTCACACGTCTCCCCCTGCACCCGCCCCCCGTCCTCAGAGTAATTAAACAAGGAGGTTCTGATTCCCAGGTCCTCCCGATCTGTCCAGGGGCTCGTCCCCCAGAAAGCCATGTCGGTGCCCCAAGACCTTGGCACGCTCCCCCCAGCTCCCCCTGCCCCAAAACTGCTGTCCTCTGAATCCTGTGTTTTATGTCAGGGCCGCATGAGGCCCCCTGGGATCAGCCTAGCAGACAGATCCCTCCACCACGGCCCATTTCCTAGGCGGCCCGAAGGGAGCCCCGGCAGGTGCAGAAGCCTCACGGAGCCTCCCCACTGCCCTGCCCCAGGAGAGGTCCAGGCCACGGTGCAGCACCACGCCAGCCAAAAACTCCAGCCTTGGCCAGACCTGCAGCCAAACTGCTGATGGTTAATGGTCTGCCGGGAGAGTCCCCAGAGCGTCCAGGCAAAGGGACCAGGGCCTTGACTGGGGCTCCTATGAGGACCTGGCCAGAGTGTTCAATGAAGGAGGCAGAGGCGGATGGAGACAAACATTTCTAGTTTATCCGTCCTTCTTAGGAATAGCTTTTGGGGTGACTGGGGTGGGGAAGGCCCAGGGTACCTCCTACCCACCCCTGGGCCTGGCATCCGGGGCCTCCCTGCTACACAGCAGCTTCCCGTGATCCTTCTCCTAATGGCCAGCCCCTCCTCCTTGGGGTCACTCTACCTCCCTGCC